GCTTTAAGAAAAGAATGGTTGGGCTGGCTACATAGCTTACTGGTAGAGTGCTTACCTGGCACACATAAGACCCTGGGTTCAGTCCTTAGCACTGCAAAACAGGTGCAGGGGAGAGGGGAAGGGAAAGAGATGAGAAAAGACAAGACATATTGAGGAGCTGGGCATAGTGGCGCATGTCTATAATCCCCACACCTGAAATTCCAGCTGCTTGGGAGGCTGAAGCAGGACATTCGTGAGTTCAAAGCCAGTCTCAGCAATTTAGTGAGGCCTTAAACAACTCGGTGAGATCCTGTCTTTTAATAAAATACACAAAAGGGCTGGAGATGTGGCTCAGTGCATTCCAGTACCTGTGGGTTCAATCCCTAGTGCTTAAAAAAAAAAAAAAAAAGATGTTGAGAAAAATATGTACAATTTTTAGGGGTCAGCCAGGTCTAATAGCACATACCTGTAATCCCAGGACTCAGGTGACTGAGGCAGGAGGATCACAAGTTCAAGGCCAGCATCAGCATCTTAGACCCTGTATAAAAATTTAAAAAGAAAAAAATTTGTAAGGGGTCAATCTGCATTTGAGCTAGTATTTGTCATAATATAAGTGGGTTGTATATAATTCAATGATAATCACTTTCCATATTTGCCATAGAAAGCTACTTAAGCAAGTATGAGGGCAAAACATTTTTTCCTGAGGCAAGAAGTAGGTATAGATTTTTTAATAAGGCGTTCTTTTCTGCTAGAGAGAGATGTTTTAAGTTGTTCACAGAGCTTGGAGTTGTGTTCCAGGATAGAGGTGTCAGGCCAGGAGTCCTGGTTGGTCCCCCAAAGGGAAACACAACTGTTGTACAGTTCTGGTTAGGAGGAAGTTGCAAGAAATTCACACTGGTAAAGAGTGGGAGGATCAAAACTAACTATAAGTCCTGAAGGTAAAATTTCAGATGAGTAGTCAGGGAGGTTTGGAAGCTGATTAAGCTTCAAGAAAACTGAGGGGAGAAAATGAAGAGTTCCATTTAGTGGGTACCACGCCCATCAATTTTGAAGTCTCTGGTTGATGAATGATATTATGCCTAAGAGATCAGTACTTCTTGACAGCCTGGCCACATTTCCCTTTACTGTTATCGCTTGTGACACCCAGACAGCCAGCTTCATTATCAATTATACTTTTCCCCCCATATCTGACTCCCTCTTTCCTCCTTTTAACATTTTCATTCTCTCATTTTTTTTTAATCTTTAGACATTTTTAAAGTCCGGTTTTTTTGTTTGTTTGGTTTTCAACCTCAAAATAGATTCAAAGTCTGACTCGGGTGCTAAGAACAGCAAACTTAGTGTTGAGTGGAAATTACAGTTCTCTGGTAGGCCAAGTAAGATATTTCCAGTTTTAAGATTGTTACTGTGGCTAGTATCTTAATGGCCACTGTGATACAGAGGAAGAAAAGGAGAGGGAGACAAGGACAGACACTGTCCTGATTCATGCAGCACTGTTTGTCTTTTTTGAACTGGGTGTATGATGTGTCTTTTGGTTGAAAACAGAGAAAAATTCTAATATTAGAGTGGATTAGTGTGTTGTATAAGGTCTTTTTCTTAAATACTTACCAGAAGGGCTTTTCATTCTGTTTATTTCGCCATGACTTTCATATAATTAGTCTCCAACCTCTCTTTTTTTCCACATTATCATTTTATATCAAATTATTTGTGTATGTGTGGGGGATTGAACACAGGACCTCATGCATTCCAGCTAGGCAAATGCTCTACCACTGAGCTAAAACCCCAGCCCTCAAATTTGTTTTAATAAGAGAAAAATAAGGTAAATCTACTCTAGTTTAAAAAAAAAATTTTAAAAATCACATCCTCAAGAATAATTTGGAGGTTCACCTGTATTTTCTAAGCTGTTTATTTTTTCTCACCTCCAGAGGGAATGGATGGCATTTTGGAAGTCATCAGGTGGATATCCATGATGGAAAGGCTCAGAAAATGATTTTTCTTCATTGATCCAGAATGAGAAAATAGGGGAAATAATAATCTGTCACTACAACAAAGGCTGGTACTGGGTGTGTAGCTCAGGGTAAAGCATGCTTAAAAAGAGAGAAGTAATCTCTGAACAAAAGGTTCAGAAAACAATTAGATCTGTTTGAATCACTTAAATATTTTAAAAAGTTTTGTTGATTCCCAATTATTCAGATGATAGGAGCATACTTTTATGAAAAACATACAGCGTAGGTATTGGATTAAAGTTGTGGTTTAGCAGAAAGCACCTTTTGAACCTCTTTCCCATCTCTCCTAAATATCCTCATAATTTTCTCCCACAGCTTTCCTGTTATTTTTGCTACCAGAGCAATAACCTTCCGTGTGCATTTTTTAGATGTTGGAGGAGGAGTTGTCCAGTGATCTCAAAGTATATGTTTTTGATTCTCATAAGATTATGGATACCAAAGGAATAAAAAATGGAAATCACCACTGTCAAGTTATGAAAGAAAGTATGCATAGTAAAATAATTTAAACCTAACATTTGTACCCAAGGCAAACAGTACGTTTTTTCCATATTTTTGGAAAATGTGCATTTTCTTCACATTAAGTGGTACCAATAAAAAATAATGATTCT